AAATAAAAGCGGGCAGACTTAGCACGTGCACCACTCAATTATCAAATATTACTAAAAAAGGGGCTTTTAGATTGACTCTTTTTAATTCAAAGGCAAAGTTATTGCATCGCCAGTCAGGACAAAGTTCGAGATTGGACGTAGCCGATGACGACAATAGTACATACACGTGGCGCGCCTAATAGGCGCGGGAAAATTCGAGTGAAGATGTCATGGGGCTATTTCGCATCTGATTGGTTGAGATTGTGATCTGCCGGTTCTCGATCCCAGTTTCCAACAAAAGCGACGGCACCGGCGCAAGTTATTCAAAATGGCCGCTGTAGGGAGAAAGCGGACTTAACATGTAACTTATAGCAGCGAACAATTCTGCCTGACGATGAGAAATGGGTAAAATTTTTATTATAAATTGCTTTTTAAAAAACCCAATGCCAACTACTGACATACCTTGTTTGCTCCGCATTTCCTTCTTGTCGGCGAAAATTGTTTTTTTTTTTGGTCAAATTCTCCCAAATTCTCCCTGCCACACACCGTTGAACCGTGGTGAGTATCAAGTATTACGTAATCGTCTATGGTGTACACTTTGAAATTTGTGTCTAGTGAATGTGTACTGAGGTAATACTGCAGAATTTATCCACGGTGGTTGGACTTAAACTACTGCCCCACCAGGGGTCAAAGGGGACTCCTTGTTTAAGGGGAAGGAAGAGGAGGAGGAGGGGGGGGGAAAGAAAGGAGATTTGGAGAGTGAGAGTGAAAGAGTAAATGAGTAAAAATGCTTAGAGAACGAACAAAATGTCTACACACGAGGGAGGGGGAGGGGGGAGTAAGGACAAATAGTTTTGGGGAAGACACATCATCCGAAACAATATTCTATCAAGAGGAATAGAATCTTACCCTTCCCCTTCCATAGCATTTGTAACAGCGCTTATAACCCGAGGCCATACAGTCATGGCAGGGCTGAAAAACAAAAACAAAAACAAAAAAACAAAAACAAAAACAAAAACAAAACAGGAATACATTATTTAAATAGGTACAATTTCAAAATAAAGTGTGGACTCTTGGATTAATTTAATTTTGGTCCAACGTTAATTTATAGAGTTGAATCCCAGAACCATGCAATGATAGTGTACTTGCTGTTAATTCCCCTTAGAACTTGTAATAAGAAATTTGTAGGGGGGCAAAGGAAGTTGCAATGTCAGCAAAATGATTCCACAATCCTTCAATCCCAACCCATCTTCATGGCACAGATATCCAAGACAAGCTTCTTGTGCATATTTATGATGTTCAAAACTCCGTTGACTAAAAAATGTTCTTTCCACACATGTAACCTCATCAATATGACCACAGCATGTTTTTCATATCAAATGTTCAGTGACATCCTCAAAAGAGTACATGAAAATGTTTTAACTTCTCTGCTATGCTTCACTAGAAAAAAATTTACTAATAAATGCAAATAAATGTTTTAAGAAAATATTACAGCTGACCAAATTCATCAACAAATCAAATAATACTTTAAAACTCAGTTTTAAAACTAATCAGCCAATTATTTGCTAAGTGTCAAAAGAAGGTTAAACAAAATTAATTATCTGTCTGTCATCATATTTCAAATCAACCAAAATACAAAAGA